CCCTTTATTGAAGATCCCGGACATTAAGTAGCATCTCCTTGTCACCTCTTTAATGAGTTCTTTGTTAACTCCCTTTATAGAAGATGCTGGACATTAAGTACCATCTCCTTGTCACCTCTTTAATGAGGTCTTTGTTTATTTCCTTTATTGAAGAAGCAGGACAGGGAAACATTAAGTACCATCTCCTTGGTTTTAGGCTTTAATACAATAGATTTCATCATGAGCTAATATATTTGGAAATATTCAAGATATTCTAATATCTAAACCGTGTCTGACAATTAAAACTATTCAGTGCATATACTGAATTTAGGAAATACCTGATCAGATTTTGGACATCAGATCGTAAAATTTGAGTGGCTATTGATTATCTACCTGATGAAGGAGTAAGGATATACCCGAAACATTGTGTTCCTCATAAGAAAGAAGTTGGCATCCATAATTAACTCTCTTCCTTGTAAATGATAGTTATAGATATGTGGAAAGAAATTAACATGTAAACATATCTCTGGACACTAATGATGACTGTGAATTTGTTTCGCAGCCTGTCAGAAATATCAACCAGCGGCTACTGTTTACATGTACATGTGCCGATGACACACACTGACATTATCGCAAGTTCACATGACACAGCAAGAATTTGGATCCACAGCGTCAGGGTATGTTTACACAACATCCACCCAGTCACCGACTTTCACTACCTGATCCAATTGGTCACTGAACTCCTACAAATGACATGGATTCCGGGGAACCTATTCCAACCAACTTGGGGTGCGGGGAACCTGTTCCAACTGGCATGGGTTGGGGGATACCTATTCCAATCAACATGGGTTGTGGGGACCTATTCCAACTGGCATGGGTTGTGGGATACCTATTCCAATCAACATGGGTTGTGGGGACCTATTCCAACTGGCATGGGTTGTGGGGACCTATTCCAACTGGCATGGGTTGTGGGGATCTATCCAACTGCATGGCTTGTGGGGATCTATTCCAACTGGCATGGGTTGTGGGGATCTATTCCAACTGGCATGGGTTGTGGGGGATCTATTCCAACTGGCATGGGTTGTGGGGATCTATTCCAACTGGCATGGGTTGTGGGGGATCTATTCCAACTGGCATGGGTTGCGGGATACCTATTCCAATCAACATGGGTTGTGGGGACCTATTCCAACTGGCATGGGTTGTGGGGACCTATTCCAACTGGCATGGGTTGTCACTTGTGGGGGATCTATTCCAACTGGCATGGGTTGTGGGGATCTATCCAACTGCATGGCTTGTGGGGGATCTATTCCAACTGGCATGGGTTGTGGGGATCTATTCCAACTGGCATGGGTTGTGGGGATCTATTCCAACTGGCATGGGTTGTGGGTTGTTTGGGGATCTATTCCAACCAACTGGCATGGGTTGTGGGGATCTATTCCAACTGGCATGGGTTGTGGGGGATCTATTCCAACTGGCATGGGTTGTGGGGATCTATTCCAACTGGCATGGGTTGTGGGGATCTATTCCAACTGGCATGGGTTTGTGGCATGGGTTGTGGGGATCTATTCCAACTGGCATGGGTGTGGCATGGGTCTATCTATTCAACTGGCATGGGTTGTCGGGGATCTATTCCAACTGGCATGGGTTGTGGGGATCTATTCCAACTGGCATGGGTTGTGGGATCTATTCCAACTGGCATGGGGGGATCTATCATGGGTTGTGGGGGATCTATTCCAACTGGCATGGGTTGTGGGGGATCTATTCCAACTGGCATGGGTTGTGGGGGATCTATTCCAACTGGCATGGGTTGTGGGGATCTATTCCAACTGGCATGGGGTTGTGGGGATCTATTCCAACTGGCATGGGTTGTGGGGATCTATTCCAACTGGCATGGGTTGTGGGGATCTATTCCAACTGGCATGGGTTGTGGGGGATCTATTCCAATTGGCATGGGTTGTGGGGGATCTATTCCAACTGGCATGGGTTGTGGGGGATCTATTCCAACTGGCATAGGTTACTACAGAGGTATTCAAATCCGGAATGGTTGAGTGGTATTCCAGCACACTGTGAAACTAGGGATTGCCAACCGGCACATGTACGAGGTCTGTTTAGGTCACATACATACCCAGGGGTGGAAATAACTTTAAAATTGATAGTGTACTCCGGTACAGTGGCTCATTTAAAGTCACTTGCCCTGATAATTTCCCCACTATACCAACCGTTTTCTTGCTGATTTTTTAAATAAACAACATAATTAACATTGGAAAGTCAACTGGACACCGGTACAGTGTGATATACAAATTTGCTTGCCTGACAGAAAAAAACACTGGACTCGGAGGTCAGGCAATGGGTTATTTCCACCCCTGATACCACATCAAGCACTAAGCAGTATATATACCACTAACACCCGATGAGGTATAAACATCTCCTCAGCCTCCACCAACAATAGATGACGTATGCAATACCATTAACTCCACGAATATCTCTTTAAAAAAACTTTTCCAACAGAACATCGATACTGCCAGTATTTACATACACACTTAATGGACAACATGCAGCTAATGCTTCCATCAACAGAATTAACAGCTGTTCCATTAGCTGTAGTTCAACAGATCATGAGTTTAAAGAAACTAAATTACCATGATTACCTATTACCAATAACTAGATAGAATAATGACTCAACAACACAAATATCTGCCCCTTAGTCCCAAAACACAAAAACACTTTAGGTGAGTGAGTTTAGTTTTACGCTGCTGTTAACAATATCCCAGCAATATCATGGCACGGGACACCAGAAATACACACTTTGGACACCAGAAATACACACTTTGGACACCAGAAATACACACTTTGGACACCAGAAACACACACTCCGGACACCAGAAATGCACACCTGGACACCAGAAATACACACTCGGACACCAGAAACACACCGCCGGACACCAGAAATACACACGCCGGACACCAGAAATACACACTTTGGACACCAGAAATACACACTTTGGACACACAAATTTGGACACCACTTCGAAACACCAAAAACACACGCCCGGACACCAGAAACACACACTTGGACACCAGACACTTTGGACACCAGAAATACACAGCCGGACACCACAAATACACGCCCGGTCACCACAAATACACACCTCGGACACCAGAAACGGACACCAGAAATACACAGTTCGGACACCAGAAATACACACTTCGGACACCAGAAACGGACACCAGAAATACACGCCCGGACACCAGAAATACACGCCCGGACACCAGAAATACACTTTGGACTTCAGAAGCGGACACCAGAAATACACACTTTGGACACCACAAATACACTTTGGACACCACAAATACACGCCGGACACCAGAAAACACACGCCGGACACCAGAAAAATACGCCGGACACCAGAAAACACACGCCGGACACCAGAAATACACACGCCGGACACCAGATATAACACTTTGGACACCAGGAATACACCGGACGCCCGGACACAGAAATACACGCCGGACACCAGAAACACACGCCGGACACCACAAATACACACTTTGGACACCAGATATAACACTTTGGACACCAGGAATACACGCCGGACACCAGAAATACACACTTTGGACACCAGAAATACACAAATACAAATACACGCCGGACACCAGAAATACACGCCGGACACCAGAAACACACGCCGGACACACCAGAAATACACGCCGGACACCAGATATAACACTTTGGACACCAGGAATACACGCCCGGACACCAGAAACACACGCCGGACACCAGAAACACACGCCGGACACCAGAAACACACACTTCGGACACCAGAAATACAATCATTGGGAACAAAAATGGACGTCAAAACACCGGTTTATCAGTTAACTCCAGATAATATGAGAAATTGTTTATAACACAACAATAATCAATCATGGCAAGACATAAGCAAGTCACAAAGAGTTCTATCAAAGTAGATGAAAAAAAATGTTTAATAATGGCATTATTGCTGAAATATTCCCTCACACTCACTCTAGACACACATCTTGTTGGTATTAGTGCTATCACAAGTCTTTGAGTAACTATTGAAGTCTTAAACTGGCTTGTTGAATTGAGAACCAGGAAACCATCTATTTCCTCCTGTTTGTCTGTATTTCTAACAGCAATGTTATTTTGACACAGTTACTTGGATGTCCTGTACATTTCGCCAGTCTCACCGACCCACCTACTTCCTCATTGTCAACTCTTGAATCACACATGCAATCTGCGACACAGGAAGTGGGCCCGATTCACAGACCTGAGACAAGGCATGTACTCACTGTGTCAGTTGCCATGGTAACAGATGTAATACCCTGACCAGACAGTCACAGAGAGCTGCTGATAAGTAAGATGACCTCCCAACAAGACATCATGACATGTTGCCTTTGTTCACACATACTATCTGTCATAAGTTTCATAATGATCCAAATGCAGGTTTGAGTAATAGCTTTCATGATCAGTGCAGTTCTGAATGGATTTTATTACCTACGAGGGCGAACATATTGGGGTTCATTTTTTCATACGATGCCCTAGGGTAAACTATCACTTTGTCATGGTGACGTGACGTCATGAACATGGCTATGACGTCACGTTTCTTCTGTGACGTTGCGTTCTATACGCGGCGACGGCGGGTAGACAGCCTATGTTTGAAAGTAGATTTGGGTTATTTCCTCAATTTCACGACTTCAGTAATAAACAGAACATTACATTCATGCCCATATCATACTATGTTTATGACACTCGTGCCTAAATATCGGTATATCCCTCGCTCTGGCTCGGGAAATACCAACATTTAGGCACTCGTGTCATAAACGTAGTATGACATGGGCACTCATATAATATCCTCTATATATGTAAGCTTATATACATTGTCTTCTACACTCATGCTGATCAGCAAGCCCAAGGGGGACAAAACCACTGCTTATCGGGGTCAGTTTCACTGTGCCATTCTTTCCCATCACATTTCATATGCGTATGATACAGACGGAGCAAGTGAGTGAGTGAGTGAGTGTTTTTTTTTTTACGCTGCTTAAGCAATATTCCAGCAATATCACAGCGGGGGACAGCAGAAATGGGCATCAAACATTGTACCCATGTGGGGAATCAAACATGGACGAGCAAACGCTTTAACCACTAGGCTGCTCCACCACCCTGGTACACATGGAAGTATTGGTTACATTCGATTCTGTATATGCGTGCCACTGCCAATTCTAGAAATTGACAGAACAATATGCAAAATCATGATTTTCTAGCTGGAAAGTTTCAAACCTGTACAATTCTGATATTCTTGCAGATAGTCAGCAATTACGTCCATTAACCTCATGTGCACTGCACACTGCCTAGATGCTGTTTACTTATCCATGGTGACTCGGCAGAATGTTGTAATGGCCCAAGAATATATCCAAACAGATAACGGAACAAAGTGTGTTTTTATTGCACAACAATTTTCCAGTTATATGATACCTGCCTTTATATAATCACACCTGGATCAGACAATCCAGTGATTGATACCATAAGCAGCTATCCATGTATTCGCAGTACGAGGGCACGCTATCAGCAACCCTTTCTATCCGATCCATTGATCGACTCTTACTACTGTCATGATTGCAATAACGCTCTTCGCGATAATGAAACCGTGGGGTAACCTTTTGCTCCCATAAAAAAACCAAAAGCTCCCCAGCGATCTAATATCTTCACGTAATCGGACAAAGCCTATCAATGAATCGGCAGTTGTGCTCATGTTTATCTTGTTGTAAACTAGTGAAATTCAGTGTGGGTCATAATAACAGAGTTCATTGTACATATCCTCGAATTTATTGGTTCCCTGATGCTTTATAAACATTCAGGTTTAACCATGGACCCCAAGACCCTCGTCATGGTGAGGGATGCCTGTACCAGCAAAGGTAGCTGGGGCTGTAACCAGGAATCCAGAACAAGGGGCTGTGAACCAATCAGAGTTACTTATAGCGGAGTAACATGTTCCAACTATCTGGCAAGTCCAAGTGAGCAAGTGTAATGATAAGGGTAGTTCTTAGGGGAACACCATTCAGTATATATTTGTACCTGTACACAGTGTCAACACCTCATGGATGTAAACTGCCAGTCACCGGGAATTCAACTGATAGCTGAAGGTGAGGTGAAATTGGGTTTATCGTCGTGCTTGAGAATATTTCGCTCATATGACGACGTGCATGCGTGTGTATGTGTATGTGCGGCTGCTTGTACTAGCCCAGACTTAAGCTGGTTTTATAGTGCTAGCCCACTGAGATACCATGCCGCAGTGAAGTATGAATACCCCACTCAGACACAGTATACTGACTCCGAGCCGACCAGTCCTTGTTGTACCCATTAATGCTGAGCGCCAGGCAGGGACCAACAAGTACCATATTTTAACGTCTTTTGGTATGACGCGGTCGGGGATTGAACCCGCGACCTTCCGCTCTCCGGGCGGACGCTCTAACCACTACACCAAGGAGGCGGTACTGACAGCTGAAGCTACTACAACATACCTGGTAAGATCGTAAGGCACAAGGCATCTTGTTTCTCATCAGAGTCATAAAAATTATCCTCGAATGCCGATAGATTACCGAGTGTGAAATAGTTCTACAGCACTGATATAACTATTGACAAAAGTGTTAAATAATGACTTGAGTTACGTGGTTATTATTTCCACCATTGGCTCAAACCCCAAGTCAGATATCAATCTTACACAACATCAAAGGCACAGCAACCTTTCTTGTATGATTTATATAGGGCTCGGGACGTCACCATGAACATGTGAGAGTGCAAGCTTTTAAAGAATATTTACCTGCCAGGTCATGAACCATCAGATACTGTACGAACAATGTCTAAATGATAATAAACTTCCCCATAACCATGGAGCCTTTTATATTATCAAAAACAGTCTATCATCATTAAACATCATATGGTGATGAAATGGAAAATTTAAATGACTTAAAGATAGGCTAACATGAGTAGTATATAGGAAAAATGACATACAATCTCATAGGATGAAGTTAGGCATGACTGACTGACTGAGTTTGGTTTTACGCCGCTTTTAGCAATATTCCAGCAACATCACGGCTGGGGACACCAGAAATGGGCTTCACACATTGTGCCCATGTGGGGATTCGAACCCGGGTCTTCGGCGTGACGAGCCAACGCTTTAACCATTAGGCTACCCCACCGCCCCTAGTTAGAAATGAATGTCAATGGGTGCTAACATTATGGGGTCAAGATTCAGGGTTGCCTAGATTCAAATACCATAGAAGCAGGTATGAAACATAATTTCTGAACAGTAAAAGTCAAGTGGTACAGCTAGAAAATATTTCACTTGCAAGAGTGAGCACTCTATTTTTCCACTGCTAAACACAAGGTGAAATCTGCTATAAGATTTAGAAAATTACTTCATCTTTCAAAAATATTTGCATTTCAATCACCAAAAAAACAAGATTTTATCACTTGGAGAACTAGAAATAAGGGATCACAGCACATCCGTGAAATCAGACATCAGCCATATTCAAACTAGTCTGTTTGGCTCAAAAGCGGACCGATGAACTGCAATCTAACTCGAAAACTAATAAACATATAATACTCAATGAAACGCTGATCATAATCAAAACAATGCGACCAACTCTGTGAGTTTTTTCCAGAATTTATGTTCTAAAAATAAAAATGTTGTTTAAGAAACTATCATTAAAATATTGACACTTTTCACTTTTGTTACGAGGGAGGAGGGTTTTCCAGTTAGATTGTATTTCATCAGTCCGCTTTTGAGCCGAACTGATTGTAGCTATATTTCCAGTTTCGTAGGAAATTCCCATATCACTTACTGCATTTCATACAGTTTGTCAAAATCTGAAAGGTATCATGAGGGCGAGAAGTTTCACATACTATACAGTCCCTGAACTGCATTATTTCCCCTTCCACCAGCCCTCTCTGCAACGCTAAAACCCCGAATGAAGCATGTTAGATTTTCTCAGATTCTGGTTCTTAATCTCCCTTCTCACTGGGACTCCTTTCAATTTAAACGGAATTGTTTGTTCCTATCAAAATAATATCTATTCAGCGATTAACTATCATAAATGATAAAATATGAAAAAAATAGCAAGACAGGTTCTACATTTTCAGACTACAGTAATCTGGACTTGTCAATTTAATACTACAGCGTTGCTTAGGCTGTATTGGAAATATTATTATTTGTATGACAGACTTAATGTGACCTTTCAGATACAATTCTACCAAAATCTTACAGACCAAGGGAACCCATTACCAACACAATCTACCATTTTGCCAAAACATGGATACTACTTGGTACTTAAGCTTGAGCCAACCTGTCTAATACAAAGGGCTATCTAGGGCTACTAGGATTTCAGACTTTATAGGGTGAGTGAGTGTGTGAATTGGATTTCATGCCGCTTTTAGCAATATTCCAGCAATATCAGGGCGGGAGACATGAAATGAACTTCACACATTGTACCCATGTGGGGAATCGAACCCAGGCCTTTGGCGTGAAGAGCGAACACATTAACCACTAGGCTACCCCTCTGTCCCCGGATTTTTTCAGGACGTCCTTATATGTCATCAATATTCAGATTATGTTGTTTCCAGGCAACACTAAATATTGTGCAGGTGGACTCTAGTTCAGTAGCTATTGTAACTATTGCCATAAAGCACTAGTAGCTACTAACTACAGCAACAGCTGGAGACATATTGGCTGGTTCTGGTGATTGCACTCAAGGTTGAAAATGGAACAAATTCAACGATACATATAACACAGACCTTGAAATATAGACAATTATCAATATTTACATACTGTATTGTTATGCAAAGTCAAAATTACTGAAACAGTTTGCCTTCCAGTGGTGATTAATATTCAACAGGGTACCTGCTCTATTTCTTGTGAACATACATAATTCTAGGTAAACAACTCTCAGTCTCACTTTCAAATGATTAACTGCCCTTGTCCAATGACAGCAAGAAAACTTTGCTAGTGTTTTGAAAGATATGCATGTTAAATGCCTTCTACTTATTGTGGTAACATCTAGACAGGTTTATAGAGCCATTGAGCATCCACTTATGTCATCGTTCACAACGGGAGCGGCGACTAACTGGATCACGTGATCAGGCTCTCTTACTTGGTTCACATGTAATCACAGCGAAATGAACAAATTTATGTTCATGATATTGCCACTGGATTGTCTGGTCCAGATTCTGTTAATTACAGACTGCCTTCATATAGCTAATTTATTGCTGAATGTGGCATGAAACAACAGCAAACGAACCACAATTGGTGTTGAGAGTTTCCTTTGTGTATTCAACATAAGTGGTTTTATTGGTTTCAGTCAGCTGGGGTGAGGTGAGGTGAAATTGGGTTTAACGTCATGCTTGAGAATATTTCGCTCATATGACGACGTGCATGCATGTGTATGTGTGGCTGCTTGTACTAGCCCAGACTGAAGCTGGTTTTATAGTGCTAGCCCACTGAGATACCATGCCGCAGTGAAGCATGAATACCCCACTCAGACACATTATACTGACTCCGAGCCGACCAGTCCTTGTTGTACCCATTAATGCCGAGCGCCAGGCAGGGACCAACAAGTACCATATTTTAACGTCTTTTGGTATGACGCGGCCGGGGATCGAACCCGCGACCTTCCGCTCTCCGGGCGGACGCTCTAACCACTACACCATGGAGGCGGTTGAGTCAGCTGGGTACTTTTAAGCAGTAACAACGAACATATGAAAATATTTTGGCTTAAAATGCTTGTAAATAATTTGTGCACTATTTACTGAATTTTCTATCAGCAGATAAGTATGGTGTGTCGGTAAAGAAATATAGACATGAATGGGCGAGTCACTTTGGAAATGGCACTAAATCACTTGAAATTTGTTTCTTAATTAAAATGTTTTCTTTATTAATAAATTTCTAACAGTGTTATCTATGTTGGCTACATTTCTGACTTTTCAAAACCTTTTCACGAATTCAGGCCTTTCGAAATAAGATCACAAA